CTCCATGTTGCAGCCCTCGCCCCTAGGCATCATGCCAGGTTTCCTACCTTCTTCCAAGTCTTCTGCTCCCTTCTGAGATCCATCAGCAATCACCAGGCACCCAGCATTACCCCAGAGCAGCAGATTCACATCAGGGCTTTCTCTACCAGTCCCATGGGGAGACCCTGGGGCTAGTCTTCTGGAGAGTGCCCAACATCAGAGCGTACCCAAAAGACAATCTCATTTCCCAGTGGGTGAGAGAACAACTTCATTAGCAGGCACTTGCTACAAATACAATACGTACTGCTAGCAAGGGAATAGTTGAACTTGTCAAAGCTGGGAATGACAGGTGTAACCCCTTGGGATTGCTATCCAGTTATCCAAAGGGTGACAGAGAATGGTTTGACTGTAGACAAAGTCGCTTAAACCAAGGACTGTGTCCACCATCATCTGCCGCTGTCCAAGTCTTCACGTGTCACAGAAAGCAGAGAGGATTTGTGCTCTGTACCAACCAACACAAACAGCCAAGGACAGAAACTCTGCTTTTCAGGATTTAGTACAGAGCAAGAGAGTACAGAAAGGAGTGCGTAACAGATGCTGTGCAATGGTTCCCATCATCATCTTGCCTAGTGTTTGCCTTTGCTGCTGGAACCCGAACTGGATTATGTCCTGGGACAGTTCCCACTCTTCTGCTGTCCCAGCAAGACCCCAGACCTAGTGTCCCTTGTAGAAAAAGCAGTGCACCCGCAGGGCTGCCCCATCACCTCCCTACACCAGTGCCAGCACCATCACAGCCCGAATTTGTCCTCATTCACGCTCATGGTAGAGGTCAGTGACTCCAATAGTGCAGGACCTGCGCCCAAAGGTGACATGTTTGGAGGAAATCCTGGCTTCATTGAGGGAACAGAATAATCATCTCAGGCTTTACCAGCTCAACAGCCATGGCCAATGACCAACTATGGAATTATGTGTACAGAATTATGAACAGGTTTAACTACAGAAGAAGGAATTAAATGCATGCTGAAAATGGCAGAGGGAAGTTTCAGATGGGATAGCACTACAGGCCCTGGTACTTTCTGCAGTTAATTCATCTCTTTCACCCAGTTTCCTCAAGTGCCACTTTTCAGCTGCAGCCCAAAGAAATGTTCTATACTTGCCAGAGCCTAAAGAGGATTTAATGGTTAAAATGTCATTTCTGATTTATTATCTGTTTCCACTATGTGCTCTATAATCCTAAACTCTGCACACTTTCCCTAGCTCACTTGCAGCACTTGTTACACATACTGCACTAAACTCATGATCAACTGCACTCCACCATATGTGAGCACCAGATGTAATTTATTTTTGTTTTTAAAGCATTGTGATGATAAGTGAGTTGCACCAGTAAGAATAATCAAGAAAAATTTCTCTTTCAAACAAGATTGTTAGTAGGAAGATAAATCCTATTTTAAATATAAAATGTTAGGATAGCATGACGTAGCAGTTCACTTGTTGCCTAACAAGACACACTGCAGAATGAAAACAACTCAACTACCAGAGATAGTTAAAGACAGCTTAGCCATCTCGCTTGTATGACTGCATTTCCAGATGTGAAAAATGGCAACAACAAAGGAGAAGTTTAAAATAGCAAGCTATCACAATAAAGGAATGGCACGCTCGGCTGTGCCAGGCAAATGACTCGGTAGTAGCTCAGGGGACCATTCTGCCACACTGACTGTGATGGGTAACGAGGAGCAGCTGACAACACTGCTATAGTGCAGTCCATCTGCTGAAATCCACGGAGCAGCTTTTAATTCTGAGTATCAGCACCTCAGAGATCCTCTTGCAATTGCATTCCCACAAGACTACAGGAAGCTGATTGCCAAATGAAATTCTTTTCTTCAGAGGCAAATGAGCAAATACTCAGGTCAAAAAGCAAGAATTCAAATGCTGGAAGAAGCTAGTGATCAGCAGCACTGCCAACTCCGTCATTTTTGAGGCGGACACTTTACCTGTTTGCTTTCCACTAATTTCTCTGAAGAGATTTAGACTCCTGGAGAAAGAGTGAGATGTTCCCCAGGATGAGATTGGAGTTGGATCCAATACACTGAGCAAGAAACACTCTCTGGGTAACTTCATTTGTTGCCCTGTGACGTGGTTGCCTGATGTAACCTGTCAGCTTAATGGGAACACGAGAAGGGCACTTGCTATGACACAAAACCGCCGCTCCAGGCCAGAGTCCCTAACCTTCGCTGGCAGGGTGCGAGCAAACACAACCATCACACCCATGCAAACATGCTGCTAAATGTCTGATGCAGAGAAACACTCTGAAAACTGACATAGTTGATTTACTTCTAAAAAGACATCCACCAACAATCAGACCACTAGATTATCTTGTTAATTACCATCTTCTTTTAAAAATGTGTCTGCTTTTTACTGTACCTTGATTCATGCTGGTATTTACTTGATGGCTAGTTACCAGCAACATTTAATCAGCTTATCCAAAAATTATTTTTGGCTACAATAGCTAAATTGATGCACTGCAACACCATTAGCCGAGTTGTGCAAAAGGCTTTAATCAAACTGATGAGTTCCCAGATTAGTCCTGGCTCAAGTTCAAATTGCAGTTCTGAGCAACCAGTATTGTACTTGAATTTTGCTCATGTTTATAAACACTCTATGCAAGCGTAGGGCTGTCTGGATATCTGCAAACTTCATCAGGCTGCTGCTCATGACACATTTCAGGTTTGAGCCTGAATATACGGGATAGTGCATAGAATGTGCCCCCAGAGTTTCAAGTAGTGATTTCTAAGTGTAACTTTGACAGCTTGTTCAAATGAATGAGCAAACTTAAAGCCACTCCAGACTATGTGGGAAGTCAAGGGACTATCCTCTTGTTTAAGGGCTCCCCTAAGCTAACACAGAGCAATCGGGCTGCTATCCTATTCCCTTAATTGCTGCCAGGCTGCAAGTTAAGCCAGCCAGGACTGCACTTTCTTGGCCTCCATAATTCAACCTGTGTGCAGCAGGAGAGATTCTGAAATCTGAAATGTTGGTTTTATCTTAGCTGGGGACCGAGACACTTTAAATCTTGAACTGTCACAAGGTAAAAAAGAAAAAAAACCCATCAAATTTTTGCTCAGCTCCAATAGTAAAAACAATGCCGCTGGGAAAAGTCCTAGGATTACACCAATGAGGAAAACGTATAAAATATGAAAAGCAAACGTGCAATGAGATATCACAGTGTGGCAGTAAGGACAAGAAGTCTCTCAGGCCTCTATCTTGCAAATATTTAAGGATGTTTTAAAGTAATAAATATCACTAGCTTACTGAAGCCAAGGAGATGTACAAGACATACAGGATGGGTTCCTAAGCTCTTTTGGGGGCCAAGGATGTTGATTTCAGACTTACATACTCTTTCTGTTGTAAATGTTCTGCGTGGCACAGATTCAGATCAGCAGCCTTGGGCACCGACAGCAGTGCTGTTCTTAAAAATAATTCATGCTTTATAATCAAGGCAAGAGATACAAGCCAGGTTGCGTAAGCTGCATTTAAACTGAGTGGATTTCAGAAAGCTTTCTCATTAGTACAGCAAAACTATCTCCACCCCTCCTCATTTGTTATAAAGGAGACACAGCTGGCTTCCTCCGTGCATTAGTGATCATGTTGCATTAGTGATCAAAGAGGCTTCTGCAAAGCCAAAGAGCAAAGCCTGCATTTAGGTTCTTATTTATTGGCAAAAGAATCAGTATAACCATAAACTGAAAATTTAGGACTTGCCACTATCACTGAAAAGTAAATTTTGGTTTAACCTTTGAAGGCAAGTTTTGATAAAAAGGCATAAGACACTTAGATGTAATGCTTTCAGACATGCTCCAGTTCACCTGCATCTCAAACCAAAGCATGCAGGATTTTAGGTCCTAATTTATCAAGAGAGGCAAACTCTCTCAAGATTCACTCCACGTAAAGTCTCAGTAGCACTTCGCTGTTTTGGTGCCAAAGTTTCTGCTGCAAAGAATCAGTGCCTGCAGCTGTGCTACTATGCAGGAGCAGGGATGCTGGTGTCTCTGGTGAGCTGTCTCATTGCCTATATGCATAATGAGACCCATGGCCTCAGGTGTCTCTGTGCCCACATCTCCAAAAAAAGTTAATTGGTAGATTTGCTCTGAACACACCCAGCAGGCAAGAAAGCCACTGAGTCCAGTGCAAACCACAGCACCAACAAACATTTCCCATTACAGATGTCGGTGGTAGTACAGTGTTGACCTGCTACACACAGATTACTGGTTTACAAGTCTACCAGCAAAGAGAGACCCAGATTCACGAGGCCTCTTAGCCCAAGGGTTCAAACTCACACCTCCCAATTTAAAGGAAAACATTCAGAGACTCGAATTATCAGCCAGGCTCTGATAAGACTATTATCCCTTCTTTCTGTTGAAGCCATGCTGTTGTAAGACCCTCATGGGACCAGAGAGGAAAAAGTGGGACCAGAGAGGAACCTGACTTTGCAGCCAGGTGATGGAAGAAGGAGAGATGGGGAGTCCTGGACTCTGGTCCCTGCAGCCAGAGTTACTTACTGATTTTATCCACAAAGTATATACACTGTAAAATGTGTACACAGGTCATCTTCGCAACAGGGATCCGACCCCTCTCCCTCCTTCATGCCAAAATTTTTACTTTCCCTCTAGCAATTTTAAAAGCCATGTTTCCTCATGACAATATCTGAAGTAAACATCTCCACTGCTCTGATGATATCCTTCCTCTCTCATCACCAAATTATCACCTTTTTAGTGAAAGCTGAAAGTAATAACCTGTATAATTCATTTATTTCCTGAAGATAGCTAAAGCTAAATTAACATCACTGTTCCCTTGGCTGATATAAACATGCTTTACAGTTTGCACATACAAGAGACCCTGAGATGTACTGATTTCTTCTTTCATTGATCTGTATCTATTTTAGAATACCAGCATCCTTGAGCAGAGATTAAAAACAAAAAAAACCCACAAGTTTGCTGTTTAGGAAACTTTCTGATGTGCTTTACCTTGAGGGCTTTCTGTGCAGCTTCACTTGATCCGATAGCAATCAAGTTTGGTCCAGCCATGCTGCAAAAGCTCTTCAGATGCAAAGAATCATGAACAGGGACTGTTGAAACAGCATAATCCTGTATGGAAGCAAAGAATGGTTGCTATAAATATTTTTAAATTGTCCTAGTTCCATAATTATATCAAGACATTCCATAATTAATTTTACTCTCTGCAAATTAACAATAGCAACATACCCCAGGGCACAGAGTCAACTGTTTAAGTATGACATACCCCTCTGGTCCAGCTTGTCTTGTCTGGTGCACTGGAGTAAGATCCAGAACATGTTTCAAAAATTACTATTGTTGCAACTTTAAAGAAATACATTAAAATACGTAATTAAACAATACATACATAAAACCTCTCCAAGGATCAGCAACAAGATCATGTTGCTGATTCACGAAAACAGTAAGAACGTGAATGTTGATACGCTCTCAAATAATAACAGCCTCCCACTATCCAAGTTACTTTTATGCAGTGATCTCAGATTTCAGATCCAACTCTGGCATCTGTCACTTCACAGGATGCTCAAACCTTTTCAGAAACTTGTACTTTTTTTAAAAAAAATAAGTCCTAAATAAAGCACTTGAGTATAACAAATGTCTTGGCCAGTATAATTTTTGAATTGGTTCAGTAGATGACAGCTTATCTTTCCTGTGGCACAAAAGAAGCTACAAACCTTAAATGTGTCAGCCAGAATTTCAGCACCACGTTGATTTGTCCGCCTGGAAAGACCCACAAAAAATTCTCTGCCTGGAATGAAAAAATGAAGATCAAAACAATTATAGCTTTTTTTTTCTAAGCCATTCAAAAAAAAATCACCCCATCAGCTCCTTCATCAGAACATACACATTTTAAAAACAGGCCAGTTTTAGAGACATTCTGAAGCAATCTTTCATGCATATAATTTGCTATCTTTCTTTTCTCAAGTTGAGTAATAAAATTGAAAATTCAGCATAGAAGAATGCAACCTGCAATGGCGAGCTGATAATTTAAAGCAATTATCTTTTTCCAGAAGACACATTTCATCAGAAGCATAAATAGCTTCCTCTTCTAAAGCTCTGCAATGGTCATCAAGTCAGAAAAGAGAACAGCTGGGCTGGATTAGTACAGCACTGATTGACCATTTCCCTCTCCCTCTGAGATTTCCTCTGGTCTCAAAGGCAGCTCTGCAGTCACTTGCATCCTCCAGGTCCACAGAAAATCAGTGCTGGATCTGCGGTACCTTAGAAAGGCCTTCCTTCCCAGTCTGCCTCTTTTCAGACCCCTCTTTTCCCCTTGGTGAGCTAAGGCAAGCAGCCAGTCTGCTGTGATGCTGATCAAAATAAACAGACTCATTCAGCACAGGCAGGGAGCAAGCATGTGCACAGCCAATGTGAGAAAATGCCTAATGGGTTTAATGACATAAAAAACACAGTCAGGATCTTCATCTTTGAAGTCAGCCATGCATGTAAGTTGTCTAGCACATGACATCTGGCAGTCAACTCCACCACTTTCTCCATAAACTTAAAATGCATTTTTTGCATTTGATTCATTGAACTAGTGACAATTGCCTGTATCAAGCTTTTACAAGTCTTGACAATGAGTCTGATGAACGTAGCTGCTTGTAATAAGAAATACGAAACCGCAGGCAGTTGACTACTAAAAGCATTTTTCTTATTGGCACTTTACAAGCTAAAATAAAATTTGTATGCACAGTACTGCTCTTTGTACTGCGTGTACTGCTATTTCATTTATTCAGGCATTAGGCAGGACATTGAGGGCTACATTGAAAATTCATCTCTCAGCTACCTTTGTGACATGTAGTAAACAGCTAATTTAACAAACCACACAAAGGAAGTTTTATTATGCAGATGACATAACATGCAGTCTTCGAGGCAGTCAGAATGCGTAAACAGCAAATTCACTATACCTGTAAATAAGACATCTCCACCATCCAATGTTGCGTTTTCATCTACCATCTCTACAATGTTGAGGTTGAGGCTTTCTAGTACTCTTTTCATGGCTTCAACCTATTAAAAAGAAAGTTGTTTAGAATACATTGTATCATTGAAAAACTTGAAAAAATGACAAGAAATACATATCGTTAATAAGAATTAAAGTCCTTTAACACGCCTTTAGCAGAACAGATGGCAGGGACCTTTGTGTCTCTGCCCATCGCAGCTCCCCAGCTCTCTCCAGAGACTTTTGTTGTCTGGAGGGGATGGGGTGTCAAGCAGCAGTGATCAGGTTCTTGCCTTTGCACAGAAATGACGTAACATCCAGCGGAGACGGTTGAGAGGTCCTAAACACATTTTAAGTTCAGTCCCTCTGCACAGTAATACCCTCTCTTGCAAATTCTGTCCCTTGGATTGGAGCAGGAAAAAGCACCCACAGAGGCGTGATGTTCCCTCCTTCCACACTGCTCAGATACGGACGTGGTTCTACCAGCCATGGAGGTAGCATCTCTACCCCAAGCCCCTCTTCAGTTGGAGGAAGAAAAAAATGCCCAAATCAGTAAATGCTCGTTTTCTTCATAGTTTTGCAGCTTTACTAAGCACTAGCTCTCCTTACATTTTTGAGCTACAGAATTACAAGACCTTTCATGTCTACACATTGTGTGGCTGGCTGCTGGCCGTGGAGAGCTGCGCGTGTGGCAGGGAGCTTGGGGCTACAGAGCCCATTTTCTGCTGAAAGGAGCTCACAACGGGAGCAGAGAATGCAGCTTTAGTAGGTTTCCTCATTCCCAGTGAGAGCTGCTGAGGATGCCTAGAGTAGAACCAGTTTCGAGAGGCTCACGTCATCGGCCATCCATAAGAGGGGATCACGCTTGCTATGTTCAAGTGCCATCATTTTGGTGCCTTGTAAGCCAAAAGAAGCACCTACACACAACCAACCGCTCACCAAAAGTTTATGACTACAGCTTGCAGAAGGCCAATATAAATACGAGCTCATCCGCAGAAACCCGTGAACCTGATGCCACACACCACCTTACTGCAGTTAACCAGAGGTGTCCAGCAAGCACTAATGAACGTAGATGACACAGCAAAGACCTGCTAGACAGCTCTGATTTTTGCATGTCCCACAGGTCATTTATTTATTTAGTATGATAAATCAAGCATTTTTAGAAGAAAAGCAAGAAGCTAAAGCTGGTGACATGGTACTTGTCTGCCAAAACCATACACCAACAGAAGCAACTCTAGGAGCCCTGCTCTTGGGGTCTGCCAAACTATACTTGTCACAGCAGAGAAAGGAGAACATGATGGTGACTACTCCTTCACCCTCACTGCAGCAGCCTCAGAGCAACAGCAGCACATACTTTGGCTGTCATACCTTCCTAAGAGCAGTGCTGGCTTCGGGAAGCAAGGGAGGAGGCAGACGTGATACACCTAAGCCCCCTTTTCCTGCTCATTTTCCATGACTTGGCTATGTGGCATTTGTGAGTGATCCCATTAAACCCGAAGCCCAGGCCCAAAAGGCAAGAGCAGGTCTCTATGGGCTGTCAGGACAGGTGATGTAGGTCTATAAGGGATACACTGGGGCATCATCTTATCCAAGACTGATCTGCTTTCTGGAAGTTGTTCTTTCTCTCTAACATGTCCTCGCTCTCCAGCCACTTTACACAAAAAACCTTGGACATGCACACTGTTAAAGTTAGTGCCTCAGTTTAAAGTCAAACAGGACAAAGGCAGGTCTTTGTGCCACCTGTAGATCGTTGATGGGTTATGTTGCAACACAGAATTGTCCCTGGGAGCCTCCCAAGACCAAGGAACTCATCTTCCCCATGCAAAACCACACCTAAGAGCTTTGGCACACAGACTGGAGTGAACCTACTCTTTACAATTACTAACGCTTCTTTTTTCTCCTGTCTTTCACTTGAAGCTAAAATGACCTCAGGCTGAAACTTTGCACTCAAGAGTCTCCTAGCTTAGCAGCAAGGCTTTATCTTAGTCTTGCTGCTTTATGTCCTGTGATCTTCAAAATTAGGTTTATAAGGAAGACTGGATCCATGTGGTATTTTAAAAATAAATGGGAAACAACTGAATTAATATTGGAAAAACAACTGTTGTACAAACACAGCAGCATTTTGTAACATCTGCTGATGCAGAATGATTTCTTTCACCTGTGAAGTACAGTGGTTTTTACTGTGCAGGTGCTATGCGTTTAAGAGCCATAAGACCCCAAAGAAGAAAACAATTGCTTAATATAGAATAATAGAGTTGCAGCATTATATGAGAAGGTTCCCAATCCAAGACACATAGACTCACTGTTTTGTGCCGACATGAAGCAGACTCACAACCAGGACACCCTGACACACAGGCACACCAGCCACAGGCAGTTGGAATAAACAAATACGTCCATTAGAGGGGGTTATTTAAGGCAGAAGGCCAAACCACAGGAAAAAACAGGATCGCCTAGCTTGTTTCATGGTCACCTATCTCCAGTTAATCCATCACCTCCAGCAGCTTCCAAAACTGAAACACCAAGAAGAGAAAGCCCTTTCAGGCGACATGCTGCTGATCGGGTGCTCCCAGCAGCAGCTGCCTGGGCTTGCAGAGGAAGCCAAGCCAGCAGCTGCCCTCGCTGAGCACCCGCTCCCCATGCCGCTTCTGTCCTCCCTGATATCATGTCCCCACCAGTCTGGAGCATCAGCAGAGCTGCAGATGTTACTGTGGCAAAGGACCATCCTACCTACCTTCTGTGGCGAGAGCTGAAAGCAAAAATTTCTCTGGACCACAGAAGAACATCTGAGAGAGTAAAGAGGTGCAAAACCTGGGCAGCCTGAAAAGAAGACATGAAGGTCCCTCATGTTGCAAGACTGCCTGCAGATCTAACAGGACCAGGAACCGTACAACAAGCATTGCAAGCAAGCTAGGCAGTCGGGCTGGAAAATTTGTGTCTGTTAATAGCTGAATAAACTTAATGGTCTAAGGAGGCAGACTATTGAGAGAAGAAAAGCAGCATGCATCTTGGCTATGTGCGGGAGGCTAAGGGGAGACAATAGCCCAAAGGTGGATGTACCTGGCAGAAGACGTGCCTGTGACCAGAACAAACATGCACCAGACACCGAGGCGGGTGTGGGGTCCCTCTATAAACTGGGAAACCTACCTTTTATCTCAGCATTTCAACCATACAGAGCACTTGCACCATCCTGGGAAGCAATTCCAAGGCAGCCAGCAAAGGTGCAACAGAGCTTCCCGGGCAGGGGCAGGCAGGGAAGGGGCAGCACCTCACATCCCTGGGCCAGGATGGCCAATTAACAACACTCATCCTAGAGTACTAATTAAGTAAAGTGCCTAGCTAAATGAGAATAGCAGAAGGTAAATGCTGACTTTGGATTTGTGATTTGAGTCATACGTATGTTTTAATCACCAGCTGGCAATTAGCATTTAACCACCAGGCTATGTCAGAGATGCCTTGAATTGTCTCTTTAATTTAATTTACAGGGGTTGATGCAGCTGTAGCACCGTCATTAAAGAATGTTATCAGAACTGAAAGTTGTCCAAAATCAAAGAAATAGTTTAATTTCCTTGATGATTGTTCCAGACTCTGAAGATATTTGTAAGATGCTCAAGATGTTTTTCCCCTGACAGTTGAGCTCATTTTAGCTTATGAAACCAAATTTAAATAAACAAAATTACTGCCATATAAATAGCTGGATCTTTTTTTCCATGATGGGCATTAATGGATTCAAGTCTACAGTTCAATGTTATGCACGTTTTTTAAGTAAGCAGTAGAAATTCCTAGAGTTTTAATTGGAAAGTGCTCTTCACACATCTGGCGACATGTGCTAGGAATATCTTTCGATATTCCTTGCTTGGATAAAATAGAAGTCTCAAGTTACTGTTTTCTATGGGCAACACTAGGAACTTCATTCAGAAGAAGCAGAAATGAAAAAAGGAGCACAAACTGAGATGGAGAAGATTGGAGAGATGGCTTGGCATTATTAAAAAGGCAACTGGGGAAAAAAAAAAGAACTTGTAAATACAGGATTCTGGAAAAACGAAACCAAAACTGAATAGCTCATCTGCTTTTGCAGAGAGCTGATTTTCCTGCACAGGGGGATAGCACAGACTCACATGATGCCCACATCATCATCTTTAAAGCTATCCTGTAGCAGTCCTGAGTAGAGTCTCCAACACAGCATGTCCACAGTATGTTTGACACACGACCATCTTGGAAACAGCGTACTATATCATTCAGAGTTTGTGTTAGTGTGGTACGCACACACGAGTAGCTCGAGTCTGTATCTCATCATTACAAAAGGCAATCAAGAGCTCGGCTTCATCCTTAAGCCTTCCCACATCAGGAAGGACTGTGTCGTTTTCCAACAGAGCTCCTACCCCAGAGAAAAAAAACAAGATACAATCTCTAACTAAGGAGAGACAAGTGATTGTTATCTTCAAGAAAGAAGTGAAAAATAGGGACACAAAGGGGTTTGATTTGACAAAGCCCCCTATCCTCCTCACGTTTATCCTCCCCAAACAACTGATGTCCATTTTTCTGAAGTGTGGAGTCTTAACACATACTAGTAAGATTTTTATAATGAATGAAAGACTAATTCCCAGAGCTAGCTTTGATGTATGAACAAATAATCACCTCTTGCTTTTTTTCCCAGGAGTGAACTGAAAAAAGGAGGATGGAGAAAGTCCTCCATGAAGCCACAGTTACTCAGGAGACACCAGTAAAATACACAAGTATTTCAACATGACTTGATTAAAAGTACATTCACTATGAAGACAACTTATTGGTTGCTTTTTTCTTAAGTAGCTAAGAGGAAAAGTCACCATCCCTCATTTTATCTCCTTTATTTGAAAACTAAAATCCCAGGTAGTCAAATCATAGCACATAAAGAAAACTCATCTGTATCCTTTAAGATTTCTGTATCATATTATCTCAGGTCAGCTTAAGGTTTGCAACACAATATTGGGTTTTATTGTACACATACCCATTAGTACATTGGTTGAGTGTTAAAGCTTGTATGCTTTGTGTACTGATATTTTTTCTAATAAGCACATTCCTGGTGTGAGAC